GTATATGGGCTTGGTTTTTTATTTTTTTGGGTTTGGGGTACTCTGTTTATCTTTCTGTATAGTGGGAAACCATGCCAACTTGCTTTATACTGACCCTGGCAGTTTGTACATTTAGGTGGGACTTCTTTTTCTTTGGTGCATTCGGATGTGAAATGATTTTCTCCACATTTTTCACATTTGGGAGTTTCCCTACATTCAAACCGGGAGTGTCCAAGGTTTTGGCACCCACGAGACAAAGTTAGAGAGGCCAATGACGTACACAACTGGTTGCCTGACACCGAGGTAAAAAGGGAGAACAAGAAGCGGCCAGTGTAGATTGACACACCTATACCACTCTGAGAAGACAATATTCTGTTAACTCCGAGCGGCGTTCTCATTTTTATTACCTATCAAACCTTGGGCTGCCTGGACTCGGGTGAATGCTGTTTTATTGTCTAATTGGTCTAAAGTCCTTTGAAACATTGCCTTATAGCTGTCTATATGACTCCAAACCTCACTATTTTCTGTTTTATTTAGACATCATTTTGAGTTTAAATAAAATAGTTATTATAGATAGACACATTGAATATTACAATTTGAAATTTATTACGGAATGTGCCCTGAATGGGACACAAACACATACCAAACATTTTCAGTTCTTTTATGATATCTTTGCCATTTATTCTAGCAGCAGTGGAAGGTACCATTTTACCATTCGCAGTAGTTACACCATGTGGAGAATAAAAAGTCTCAAACTCTGAAAAGAGGTCTCCATTTTTGGTTAAATGCCTTGAAGAACCGTTATCAATAAACCATTCCTCTAAATTTTGCAAAGAAAAGCGGTGGATGCGTTGAACTATGTCAGATGTATCTTTTCACTTTCAGCTATTCTCATAATTGCTACCAATTTCATTACAGGACTAAATGTCTTTTTATAGTCCACTCAACAATGCTTTTCTCTTTTTTTCTTTTCTTTTCTTAAACTGTTGTTCTGTTCGAACTTGTAATATCGTCGAGATGACAATAAAAATGTTTTAATTGTCAATTGTCACTCCACAATGCTGTTTAAAACCCTTTATGACAAGTTCGGCCTTATATCTGTCAATGGAACCATTTGGGTACTCTTAACCATATATACCTATTAGCAAGGGAAAGATTTGCAACCTTTTGGCAAAATATCCAATTCCCAAGTCAAATTTTCTTCCAAAGAAGCAATATCAGAATCCAAAGAGTCCTTCCAGAATATCTATTTTAGGAAGTCACTGATAGACTAATTTCTGCAATATAAGGAACAGCAACTGTAATGTATATATCAAAACACTTGGGTTTTGTCAATTCACTGCCATCTCTTTATTTTATCTTAAATGATACTTTATTAATATACCTCTCATTTTCATCTTGTAGTCAAAGATGAGTTAGAATTTCGATCTCTTCTGTTATTTTCTTAATTTTTAAAAACTTTTCTTCTTTTTCAGATTCGAACAGTGGATTTCCAGGTTCAACTAAAGGTATTGGCCCTAATTTTTCACGATTAGAAAGAGGACTGTCTTGAAATACGACATTTCGTGAAATTATTATAGTACTAGCGGATGTACCCGGCTTCGCCCGGGTTTTACCCGAGTAAAGGTTTGTCTAACGAACATTTGTTAAAACAATTCTCTATAAACTTATTAAAAAAAAAGATATATTTTGATAATTTGAAACTCATAAATTTGAATCTCTCGATAAAGTGTACATTTTCCCCGGTCCCTTGAAAAATACTCGATAAGTTGAATAAAATCAATATTAATTGGTTCCCTCGGTAATTGGAAGTTAAAGGAATATTATCTTGCCTTGGAATTGTATAATTACTAGACGAATGGCCCGGGCAACGCCCGGGTTTTACCCGAGTGCGTATATATTTTAAAAATGTTTTAATTAAAATACTATTCGTTACAATTATAAATTGGCGCCGTGGATGTCTCTCTTGTGAAACGTCCCGCCCCAAACTGTGTGTGTCTTGAAAATATAAAAATAAAAAATGTGAACGGAAAAATATGTCCAGGGTAGCCTAGTGGTCATGGCATCTGCCCGGTAAGCGGAAGGTCGTGGGTTCGATACCCATCCCTTGACACTTTTTTTTATTTTATCCATTCTGACCAAAATCTATCCGTGAACTTCACACAGTGAACTTCACACAGACAGAAGCATTAGATAATGATAATGATCATAATGATGATGCGCGCGCATCCGTGACAGCGATGAGGAATTGATTGAGGAAAGACGGTCGTGACTATATATGTTGATAATAATAAAATTATAATAATAATATAATAATAATAATTTTTATTATTATCATTAGATAATGATAATGATCATAATGATGATGCGCGCGCATCCGTGACAGCGATGAGGAATTGATTGAGGAAAGACGGTCGTGACTATATATGTTGACTAGACGAATGGCCCGGGCAACGCCCGGGTTTTACCCGAGTGCGTATATATTTTAAAAATGTTTTAATTAAAATACTATTCGTTACAATTATAAATTGGCGCCGTGGATGTCACACTTGTGAAACGTCCCGCTGCAAACTTTGTGTCTGAGAAGCGATATTTTTATAGAAAGATGATCTGGCTTTTGTTTTCTGCTCGAATGAATGTTTTCTGTTAGAATTTTGTTCCTGCGTACAAAATAAGGAACTGGTTTCACCCGTGGTCTCTGCTTTTTGGAATTTTTCCCGATATAATTTTGTATCTGATAATCAAACATGATACAGCAATATCGTCATCATCATTTTCTGACTAAAAATATATAGTTTTAATAATTGATTTATATATATTTTTAAATAGCCTATCGTCTTCCCCGTATTTTTTACCTATGTATGGAAATTTTGGTTTGAATTAGTGAACTACTGCGAATTTGTATACCGGACATACAAACAAACATACAAACAGACAAACATTCATTTTTATATATATAGAGATTTACTCTTCATTGTTGGCTTTTTATATTATATTTACTCTTCATTGTTGGCTTTTTATCTTACATTCACTCTGTTGGCTTTTTATATTACATTTACTCTTCATTGTTGGCTTTTTATCTTACATTCACTCTTCATTGTTGGCTTTTTATATTATATTTACTCTTCATTGTTGGCTTTTTATCTTACATTCATTCTTCAAGGTTGGTTTTTTATATTACATTCACTCTTCATTGTTGGCTTTTTATCTTACATTCACTCTGTTGGCTTTTTATATTACATTTACTCTTCATTGTTGACTTTTTATCTTACATTCACTCTTCATTGTTGGCTTTTTATATTATATTTACTCTTCATTGTTGGCTTTTTATCTTACATTCATTCTTCATTTTTGGCTTTTTATATTACATTTACTATTCATTGTTGGCTTTTTATCTTACATTCACTCTTCATTGTTGGCTTTATATCTTACATTCATTCTTCATTGTTGGCTTTTTATATTACATTCACTCTTCATTGTTGGCTTTTTATCTTACATTCATTCTTCATTGTTGGCTTTTTATATTACATTTACTCTTCATTGTTGGCTTTTTATCTTACATTCACTCTTCATTGTTGGCTTTTTATATTATATTTACTCTTCATTGTTGGCTTTTTATCTTACATTTATTCTTCATTGTTGGCTTTTTATATTACATTTACTCTTCATTGTTGGCTTTTTATCTTACATTCGTTCTTCATTGTTGGCTTTTTATATTACACTAGACGAATGGCCCGGGCAACGCCCGGGGTTTACCCGAGTGCGAATATATTCTAAAAACGTTGACTTGGGTGGTCGCTATTAACAGGGTGGTCTGTATAGACAGGTGGATGTATCACACAGCTGATAACAGGGTTGTCTAGAGTGGTCGCTATAGACAGGGTGGTCTGTATAGACAGGTTTATGAGAGAGGCACAAACTTACAGGTTGTTGACGCCGCAATCCCCAGAGAGAGTGTTTTTTGTTGCATCATGCTGTGACTCACACGACGACTCAAGGTCAACAGGGGTGGAGCAGCAAGCTTAAGCCTATCATCGTCTGGCGGCGCTGCTTGCGAGTTATATCTACAATTCTGCAAATAACTCTAAGGATATTCAAGATATTCAAGAAATTATTTTTCGAAAACCTTTCCGGGGATATACCTAATAATATCCCAGAATTTCATGGCGATTGGATGTATGGTTTTTGAATAACAGGGTTGTCTAGAGGGGGGCAAGGAGGACACGTGTTCCCTTGCAGCCAATGAGTGCGCATTCTATCCGTGAGCTTCAGACAAACAGACAAACAGACAGAATAAGGCAAATATATAAGTAGATTTACTCTTCATTGTTGGCTTTTTATCTTACATTTATTCTTCATTGTTGGCTTTTTATATTATATTTACTCTTCATTGTTGGCTTTTTATCTTACATTCATTCTTCATTGTTGGCTTTTCATATTATACTAATGATGATGCGCGCGCATCCGTGACATGAGGAATTGATGACATGACGGTGGAAAGACGGTCGTGACTATATATGTTGATAATAATAAAATAATAATAATAATATAATAATTATTATTATTATTATTATCATTAGATAATGATAATGATCATAATGATGATGCGCGCGCATCCGTGACATGAGGAATCGAGGAATTGATTGATTGAGGAAAGACGGTCGTGGCTATATATGTTGATAATAATAAAATAATAATAATAATATAATAATAATAATAATTATTATTATCATTAGAAAATGATAATGATCATAATGATGATGCGCGGGCATCCGTGACATGAGGATTTGAGGAATTGATTGATTGAGGAAAGACGGTCGTGACTATATATGTTGAAGAGACGAATGGCCCGGGAAACGCCCGGGTTTTACCCGAGTGTGTATATATTTTAAAAATGTTTTAATTAAAATACTATTCGTTACAATTATAAATTGGCGCCGTGGATGTCTCTCTTTTGAAACGTCCCGCCCCAAACTGTGTGTTTTGGAAATATAAAAATAAAAATGTGAACGGAAAAATATGTCCAGGATAGCCTAGTGGTCATGGCATTGCCCGGTAAGCGGAAGGTCGTGGGTTCGATTCCCATCCCTTGACATTTTTTTTATTTTATCCATTCTGACCAAAATCTATCCGTGAACTTCACACAGTGAACTTCACACAGACAGAATAAGGCAATTATATAAGTATATAATCCAAATTGTGCCTTATCACACACAATTTTTTATTTGGCCTTATTACCTTGTGTTTATAATCTATGACGTAATGCCGGCGGCGCGCGCCCGTTGGCTGCCGGCGAGCACGTGACCTCCCTGTGCGCGCGCATCCGTGACTGCAATGAGGAATTGAGGAAAGACGGTCGTGACTATATATATTAACTAGACGAATGACCCGGGCAACGCCCGTGTTTTACCCGATTGAATGTTTTTATTCCAATACTATTTGTTACAATTATAAATTGGAGCCGTGGATGTCACTCTTGTGAAACCTCCCGCTCCAAACTTTACATGTACATTACGTCAGCTGGTATTACCCCTCATTTTCACCGCTAGAGGCGCGAGCGAATTGACTTTTTGTAAAAATACATAATTATAAAGATAGAAGCTTCTATAGAAGATAATGATCATAATGATGATGCGCGCGCATCCGTGACAGCGATGAGGAATTGAGGAAAGACGGTCGTGACTATATATGTTGATAATAGAATAATAATAATAATTATTGTTATTATTATCATTAGATAATGATAATGATGCCCGGCTTCGCCCGGGTTTTACCCGAGTGAATGTTTGTCTAACGAACATTTGTTAAAACAATTCTCTTTAAACTTATAAAACGTACTCGGCTTCGCCCGGGGTTTTACCCGAGTAAAGGTTTGTCTAGCGATCATTTGTTTAAACAATTCTCTAAAAACTTATTAGAAAATAAAAAATATATATTTTGATAATTTGAAACTCGTAAATTTGAATCTCTCGATAAAGTGAACATTTTTTCCCGGTTCCTGTGTGCCTTGTCATCCTGAATTTTGTCTTTCCTAATTTTCTACATTAGAAAATCATAGTTTTATCTAGTGAACATTTTTTCCCGGTCCCTTGAGAAATACTCGATAAGTTGAATAAAATCAATATTAATTGGTTCCCTCGGTAATTGGAAGTTAAAGGAATAGTATCATCGCCTTGGAATTGTATCATTATTCTTGTCGCAAATAAATTGCCGTGTCATCCTGAGATAATCTTACTTTTGATAAATAATATTTAAGATAACAAACTTATATATAGTGATAAGAAAACTTGTTATCATCGTCACATTGGGGGCGCTGCTTGCGAGTTAAATCTACAAATCTGCAAATAACTCTAAGGATATTCAAGATATTCATGAAATTATTTTTCAAAAACCATCCCGGTGATATACCTAATAATATCCCAAAATTCAGGCGATTGGATGTATGGTTTTTGAATCTATAGAGTACAGACAGACATTCAATTTTATATATATAAGATAATATAAATGAGTTTTAAAAATTGTAAAAATAAAAATGCATCGGCCGGGAATCGAACCCGGGCCGCCCGCGTGGCAGGCGAGCATTCTACCACTGAACCACCGATGCTTTAAAAAAATGGCCATATTTAGGTATTCATTCCATTCCGGATTAGTCCGCGTAAAAAAAAAGTTCTTCAAATGAAAAAAATAAATAGCCAAAAATACTAATCAAAATGCAGCCGAAAATTTTCCTCAGGTTTATAAAAAGCGACATGCAAAATTTGGTACCAATTGGTTCAGTAGTTTTTGAATTTATCGCGAAACAGACAGACAGACAGAAATTGACTTATATATATATATTTACATTCACTCTTCATTGTTGGCTTTTTATCTTACATTCACTCTGTTGGCTTTTTATATTACATTTACTCTTCATTGTTGGCTTTTTATCTTACATTCACTCTTCATTGTTGGCTTTTTATATTATATATTTACTCTTCTTTGTTGGCGTTTTATCTTACATTCATTCTCCATTGTTGGCTTTTTATATTACATTTACTCTTCATTGCTGGATTTTTATCTTACATTCACTCTTCATTGTTGGCTTTTTATCTTACATTCATTCTTCATTGTTGGCTTTTTATATTACATTCATTCTTCATTGTTGGCTTTTTATCTCACATTCACTCTTCATTGTTGGCTTTTTATATTATATTTACTCTTCATTGTTGGCTTTTTATCTTACATTCATTCTTCATTGTTGGCTTTTTATATTACATTCACTCTTTATTGTTGGCTTTTTATCTTACATTCACTCTGTTGGCTTTTTATATTACATTTACTCTTCATTGTTGGCTTTTTATCTTACATTCACTCTTCATTGTTGGCTTTTTATATTATATTTACTCTTCATTGTTGGCTTTTTATCTTACATTCATTCTTCATTGTTGGCTTTTTATATTACATTTACTCTTCATTTTTGGCTTTTTGTCTTACATTCACTCTTCATTGTTGGCTTTTTATCTTACATTCATTCTTCATTGTTGGCTTTTTATATTACATTCACTCTTCATTGTTGGCTTTTAACTTACATTCATTCTTCATAGTTGGCTTTTTATTACATTCACTCTTCATTGTTGGCTTTTTATATCATATAGAAAATCATAGTTTTATCTAGTGAACATTTTTTCCCGTGTCACATTGCCGTGTCATCCTGAGATAATCTTACTTTTGATAAATAATATTTAAGATAACAAACTTATATATATATATATAGTGATAAGAAAACTTGTTAACATCGTCACAATGGGGTGGCTGCTTGCGAGTTAAATCTACAAATCTGCAAATAACTCTAAGGATATTCAAGATATTCATGTAATTATTTTTCAAAAACCTTCCCGGTAATATACCTAATAAAATCCCAAAATTTCACGGCGATTGGATGTATGGTTTTTGGATCTATAGAGTACAAACAAACAGACAGAAAAACAGACAGACATTCAATTTTATATATATAGATTTACTCTTCATTGTTGGCTTTTTATCTTACATTCACTCTGTTGGCTTTTTATATTACATTTACTCTTCATTGTTGGCTTTTTATCTTACATTCACTCTTCATTGTTGGCTTTTTATATTATATATACTCTTCATTGTTGGCTTTTTATCTTACATTCATTCTTCAAGGTCGGCTTTTTATATTACATTCATTCTTCAAGGTCGGCTTTTTATATTACATTCACTCTTCATTGTTGGCTTTTTATCTTACATTCACTCTGTTGGCTTTTTATATTACATTTACTCTTCATTGTTGACTTTTTATCTTCAATTCACTCTTCATTGTTGGCTTTTTATATTATATTTACTCTTCATTGTTGGCTTTTTATCTTACATTCACTCTTCATTGTTGGCTTTTTATCTTACATTCATTCTTCATTGTTGGGTTTTTATATTACATTTACTCTTCATTGTTGGCTTTTTATCTTACATTCACTCTTCATTGTTGGCTTTTTATATCATATTTACTCTTCATTGTTGGCTTTTTATCTGACATTCATTCTTCATTGTTGGCTTTTTATATTATATTTACTCTTCATTGTTGGCTTTTTATCTTACATTTATTCTTCATTGTTGGCTTTTTATATTATATTTACTCTTCATTGTTGGCTTTTTATCTTACATTCACTCTTCATTGTTGGCTTTTTATCTTACATTCATTCTTCATTGTTGGGTTTTTATATTACATTTACTCTTCATTGTTGGCTTTTTATCTTACATTCACTCTTCATTGTTGGCTTTTTATATCATATTTACTCTTCATTGTTGGCTTTTTATCTGACATTCATTCTTCATTGTTGGCTTTTTATATTATATTTACTCTTCATTGTTGGCTTTTTATCTTACATTTATTCTTCATTGTTGGCTTTTTATATTATATTTACTCTTCATTGTTGTCTTTTTATCTTACATTTATTCTTCATTGTTGGCTTTTTATATTACATTTACTCTTTATTGTTGGCTTTTTATCTTACATTCATTCTTCATTGTTGGCTTTTTATATTATATTTACTCTTCATTGTTGGCTTTTTATCTTACATTCATTCTTCATTGTTGGCTTTTTATATTATACTAATGATGATGCGCGCGCATCCGTGACATGAGGAATTGAGGAATTGACGGTGGAAAGACGGTCGTGACTATATATGTTGATAATAATAATATAATAATAATAATTATTATTATTATCATTAGATAATGATAATGATCATAATGATGATGTTGAGGAATTGATTGGGGAAAGACGGTCGTGACTATATATGTTGACTAGACGAATGGCCCGGGCAACGTTTTAATTCAAATACTATTCGTTACAATTATAAATTGGCGCCATGGATGTCACTCTTGTGAAACGTCCCGTTCCAAACTGTGTATTTTTAAAATGTTTTAATTAAAATACTATTCGTTACAATTATAAATTGGCGCCGTGGATGTCTCTCTTGTGAAACGTCCCGCCCCAAACTGTGTGTGTCTTGAAAATATAAAAATAAAAATGTGAATTTTCATAAAGATTTCATCATTTTGATTTTTTTTTTTGCATTTCACCTACTAAATCGATAGAGATAATTACATTTGCAACATGAACTTAGGTATATTGACTAAATAGAAAACTGCATAGTAATAAAGATCATTTTTTAAAGGCACCATATCGTTTTTTTACAATAAAATCGAAACAAAAATTAACGATAAATAACGATAATTGCCTTAAAAAGAAATTGCCTTAAAAAAAAGAAACATTCGCGGTGATTTTGTCTTGCATTCGTTTATACAATTATTATATACGAATGACCCGGGCAACGCCCGGGTTTTACCCGATTAAATGCTTTTATTCAAATACTATTCGTTACAATTATAAATTGGCGCCGTGGATGTCATTCTTGTATAATATATAAATGAGTTTTAAAAATTGTAAAAAAAATGCATCGGCCAGGAATCGAACCCGGGCCGCCCGCGTGGCAGGCGGGCATTCTACCACTGAACCACCGATGGTTATGAAAAATCCCATCCGTGAGCTTCAAACAGACGAACAGACAGAATAAGGCAAATATATAAGTAGATTTA